CTGCAAAGATAACGATTGCTCCCACGATATCTGCGTGACCCGATCCACGATTGCAGCATCCCGCTAGGAGCAGGAAAAGAGTAAACGTAAATTCAAGGGTTCGCAGAAGTGCGATAGGTGCGACGAGGTTCGCCTCCGGAGGATTCAGGCTCGTGTCCTCGCGCGCGCGCGAGAGAGCAGAACGGCGGCACCACACGAGGAAACCGACAAAGAGAAGAAAGAGGGAGACCGCCGCGGCGCTCGATACGAAACGACGGAAACAGGGACAGAAGGGACGGGAAACGGACGAGGATAGCACGAAGGAAGATAACGCGCGCGCGATTTCACCTACACGGAGAAAGAAGGTGAGGCACGTCGCCAATCACGTAACCGGGATTCGACGCGGCGTACGACAAAACTGCGCTGATTGGCCCGATCCGGTCCCCACCACTGGCAATTGGCCGAGGACGAACGTGCCGCGCGCGTCGCTTTTGCAAGTGGTGGGGGTGTGATGGTCATTCGACTTTGAGCGCTCGAGCAGTGCGGGCGCGTGGATCGCGAGCTAGAACGTGTTTCAGAGAAACGTGCGTGGGGGCGGCGGTGGTGATTATGAGGAAGAGGATGGGTGATGAGAGATCGAGGAATTTATATGCACTACTGTCGTGCAACTCGACGTATTTTTTTTTTAAATAGAATTATGCAAAACCGTTCTATCCTGTGCAATTTGGGATGAATAATCGTAACTAATGTTTTTTTGATTGGCTAATCTTATTTAGACAAAAACATTTTTTAGGTATGGTCTAAAAATATTAAACAAGGTAATTTAATATTAATGAATACATTTGAAAGTATAAAAATAGATAGAAATTGTATTTGTAATAATAAATTTCAATTGGCTGAGAAAAAGTTTAGATTAAACTAGTACTTGATTTCTTTTTGTATAAATCTTAGATTAGGGTTGCACGTTTGAAGATTATAAGTAGAACTGATAATTGCATAAACTCTAGCGACTGGCGAATATTTTTTTAACAATAAGCTAATTTTATGGTTCACGAAAGATATAACAGCATGTATCTATGAATACTGAAGTATGCGATATTAAAATGAGCAACTAAATAATGTACTTATTCGTTTTTTTTTAAATTTAGTATAGATTTAAAGTAACTCCAGACATTGTGCTTCCATCTGTCGGTAGATGCTACAGGTTTTTTCGCTGGACCAACGTTGCTCACAAGCTGAGCTGAACAATAACGAAAAAGTTATATTGCTAGAAGACGAATGAATATAGAAAAAAAATATGTATGTTTCGATGATGCTCTTTATTGATCGTTTTTAAAGATTTAAATCATCTTAATTGTTTAAATTAAAAAAAAATATTAAAAATTTTCTATAACATTTTGTTCATCAGTTGAGACAATTCTATTATCCTTTCAGTTCTTCGTCGAGATTACGTTACGATAAATTCCATAAATTCACAAGGCGGTCGTCCTTCTGCGACATTTGCGCCAGCTTACGTAAGACTACATGCCGATAAGCTCTAATAAGCAACGCACTAATTCATACCCGAGCGATAACTAACGGTCGGCGAAATGTCGGTAGACGAATAGTATCTCGGTCAAGGAACTTGTGCCCCTCCTTATCGCATGTCGTAGCCTTCGGTAAGATTTATGTAAGATATATATGCGGTACACGGTTCGCGCCGTGATCCTTTATGAATTCCATTATTCTTCGATTCAGGGCGAAACGGATTGGCTACCGTACGTACGCGATATCAGTTATCAACCGATATATATCACATGTTAATGTAAAATTTCTGTTTGCGTCGTACCTGTGCATGATATATTCTCGCGATAAGCGTTATGTGATTTGCACTCTTTAAACGCGAGAATAATAAATTCGACGGTGGTTTGATAGAGATCGCACGAGCGCGCGTTTTGCAATGCAAACAGTGGGTATAAAAGGTTGAGATTAACGTACATGATGAACGTTGCTTGCGCGCGAGTATCGCGGTAGTTACAGCGGCACCTGTTTGCCGGGGACCTACGGCCTCTGTGAACTCGGCGTGACTCATTAGCTTTATAGGGTGCCGGGGCATTATGTGGGGCCCCGGTGGGCCGCGGTGGTGGTGGCCGCATAAAAGCGCTCGCGAGGCGGCATCGGCTTTGCTCGCGGCAAATGAACATTAATATTCGCTCCCCTTTCCGTCGAGATATCAGATTAGGGGTTCGCGGGCCCTTTTCGCTCACCCGTATTTTATTACACCGTCCGGCAAAAATAAAGAAGCCGAGCAACGAGCAAAAGCACCCCGTTTGCAGCGCCCAAGTGCACGCCGAGTGTTGCAACAATCTGATTTCGCCAGCAGCACGGCTGTACCCTCGCTATTACTCACTCCGTTTTTCCTCTCTGGTTTTCGTTTTCCTCGTACTTCCCGCCGCGACAAAACTGTAATTGCCCCTGCCGTTGCAGGGCACTCTCCGTCGGTCGAGAAAGTCGATCCTTTAACTATCTGTCCGTTCTCAGAGTTTCTAGCTTCTCTTTGCAGGATGTTGCAGATGCGGCCAATGTGTGGGTTGAGAATTAACAGCAAATTCTATTAGATATCACAGACACAAGTTCTCACAGATCTCTTCACGATTGTGTTCACGAGTAATGTTGTATTATATGGTCTCTCGACATCAGTGAAAATTTTCACATCTCTTTAATCATATGCACAACTAAATCTTTACTTTATAATATTTTGAAGCTTAAAGTTGTTTTTTCGTTTAAATTCTACGCTACTCTGGATATGAAATCGCTTTTGATGCGTGCAGTTTGGGACTTTGGAGGAACGGTCGTGAGATGCAAAATCAGTTTGACTTAACCACGGATTTCAGCCGCAAGGGAATCATGGGTGAATGCACGCGTAGTCACGCTTTGCGATAATTTATGACGACTGCGCGAACCGAATACGTTTCTAAGCATGCAAGGAGAATTCCACGCGATACGCCAGACAGAAACTCGCGCAATTAGGCTACGGGATCCCCTTCGTTCTGTCATTATCCGCTGCTCGTCAGCTCGAGGCGTTGACGTTCATTGAATTTAAAAATGTAGCAGTAATTTTTGAGAAGCACACGAATACGTGATGATAATTGGTCACGGAGGGAAATCGCTCCACACATATAGAAAATCGAAGGCCATTTCCGAGTCTTGCTTTTGGCATTATTTACTTATCCGATAATGGCTGGCAAATTGTTGGGCTGTCAGTCAGTGAATATGCATGTGTATTGTAAGAGGCGTACAGTGCGAGTTTTACAACTCGCTCGAGGCGGCCAATCGAGAACCTTCGACCGGCCTGAATATATATCGATAGGATCGAAATGGCATGTATAGTTTGCGCCGCCGAAATTTGTTACTCTCGTGTTAAGAATTGCAATTCCGACATTTTTGAATATCTCGAGAAATCTGGCACGCGAGTGTCTACGGTCACGGTGCACGCAAAACTGGCTTTTAAATCAATTCCGCGCCCTTTTGAGCGATATTAAAATTGGGCTGCTTTGTGCTATGCCGCATATTATAGCTAGCTGCAACTTTTCATATTGAGAACTTGCTCCCAATCTCGCTTTCAAAT